TATTTTAATATTATTTGGATAATCTTCACAACTTTTGAAACATTTCCATAATGTTGACATCCTATTTCATGAATGATCTATCATCCACATGTATTTTCAAACACGCTCAAACTTTTGTCTTTTAGGGAAATAGAGCCTGACTAAATATAAAATAATTTCTTTTACAAAACAAGTTTTCATCATATTATACAACCGGCTCTGCTGGGCGATCTGCTTTTACGAGATCGGCGCCCATTAAAATTTATTCATCAATGTTATATCAAAATTTAAATTTAGCTCTCTGCCAAGGTTGCTTTAATGAGACCCATTTTGACAAAAGGCATCTTTTTTATCAACCAGCCGGGCGATCCGCTTTTATGAGATCAAAAACACCCATAACATTTTCATCACTATTGAATCCGACTGCTAAAATCATTTACCACATGTTGACATAATTAAATCGTTGTTTATAAAAAAGCGATCGTTGAAAGCATTCTTATCCGGATTTTAAAATGTTTTGACGACAAACTATCAAAAATTATAGTTGCCTAAATCGGTGACGGAAACATTTCTGAACATATCAATTTTTATTTTATTTTTCCTGAATTGGGAATTTATATTCACATAAGTTTTGTTGGGGCCGCGTCCGATTTTTGTATATAGTAGAATCATCCTTGATCTTTTTCTTGGGCTTTATCAAGGCTTCTGTGATATTTTTGTTTTTGTATCCTCTTGATTTTAGTTGTTTTCGGAGTTGTCCCAAACGGTTACAAATGTGGTGGTGTCTAGAAAAGCAATTTTGCCGCTTGAATATTTAGATGTGCATACCCGTCAACCTCTGAAACTGAAAATGCAGGTCATGACCTGCATTGAAGAAAAAAATGTCAGGTCATGACCTGCATTGAAGAAAAAAATGTCAGGTCATAATGCGTACGAACTTTTTCAGTCCAATTGTAGTATTGAGAGTTTTTTTTTACATACTATAAATATACATGTTCCACTGAGTATTGGTACCCTAAAAATAATCACTTTTGTATTTGTTAAGTATATAAATATTTATCATTAATTAAATGTCTTTCTAATGCCCTCTTATTGTTTTATTCACACTAGTTTACTTCTTTTTATTAATGAATGTCATAAACCCCAGCTATAAAATTGAGAATGGAAATGAGGAATATGTCAAAGAGACAACAACCTCACCAAAGAGCTGACAACAGCCGAAGGCCATCAATGTGTCTTCAATGCAGCGAGAAAATCCCGCACCCGGAGGTGGTATACATGTAATTAGAAATCAGTTATAGCTAATGTGCTCCTATATACAGGAGGAAGATAAATAGAAGGAAGTTAGTGTGTTTCCTTTCAGTGAAATATCTAGAGCATATGGATTTGATTTAAAGCTTTTACATTTAAGTGATAACAAAATTATTCTCTCCAACAGAAATGTATTAAAAGGTTCTAATTGTTTTAAAATGATTTTTACAGGATATTTGATATTTGCAAACAGCAAACCTTTTAATCAGGACATAGAATTGTATGTCAAGCTTGACTGGCTTCAAGTTTCTGGGGGTACAGTTAACAAACAATCCTCGAATTGTTACTTTTCAATCAAAAGTAATGTTTTGATAGCTGTCATTGGCACGGTTAATAAGCAAATTCTAGGTGGCACGGTAGTATTTACATTCCGGAATTTAGGTTGCTCTTTTGTGTACCCTACTTAAGTCAATGTATCTGAACAGTGTGATTGGACAAAACATACAGTATCTACTGATCATACTTTTCCAAACTGAGGGATGAATCAGGTGTAGAAAAATATGAAATAATTTTACATGCAGGTGAAAATGAATTTTTGAGAATTTTCTAAAATTTTGTATTCACTGCTTGATAAAAGACCTAAAAGCACTAGTGGCCTTAGGTTTATAAAGATAGCAAAAAAAGTAAACAGTCATGACACATATTCAAATTCATTTCTGAATATTATAATGAAAGTACTTCAGTTAACTGTGTATGTAGAATTTTGAGCAGTGTTAGAAAGTGGTGAAAATTCTAATAAAATGCTCCGCTGGGTGCAGCTTGATACGACCTCAGAGATCGAACCCTGAACAGTTGGGGTTAGTATGGACACAACATTCAAGCTTGATACAGCTCTGAATTTGGATTGTGATTAAATATTTGACACAGCATAGGTTTCTGACACAGAATGAATGTGGTCTAAGAACTTAAAATTTTTTAATTTACCTATTATGGTCCAATATCCAAAATCTAAATACATGGTTAGATTCAGCATATCAAAGAATCCAAAGAATATAATTTTTGATGAAATCAAACAAAGTTTAATTTTGGACCCTTTTGACCTCAATGTGGACCTATTTGAAAACAGGGCCCAAAATCAAAATACATGGTTAGATTCAGCATATCAAAGAACCCCATATATTTAATTTTTGTTGAAATTAAACAAAGTTTAACTTTGGACCCCAACTTGGACCAACTTGAAAACTGGGCCCATAATCAAAAATCTAAACACATGTATAGATTCAGCATATCAAAGAACCCCAAGAATTCAATTTTTGTTAAAATCAAACTAAGTTTAATTTTGGACCCTTTGGACCTTAATATAGACCAATTTGAAAACTCGACCCAAAATTAAAAATCTAAATGCACGGTTAGATTTGGCATATCAAAGAACCCCAATAATTCAATAATTCAATTTTTGATGAAATAAAACAAAGTTTAATTTTGGACCCTTTTGACCTCAATATGGACCAACTTGAAAACTGGGCCTGAAATCAAAAATCTAAATACATGTTTAGTTTCAGCATATCAAAGAACCCCATATATTCAATTTTTGTTGAAATCAAACAAAGTTAAATTTTGGACCCTTTGGACCTTAATGTAGACCAATTTGAAAACTGGACCCAAAATAAAAAATCTAAATACACGGTCAGATTTGGCATAACAAAACAATAAATGTGGTCAAAGATTTTACAAATCTAATTCGCCATACTGTGCAATTAAAGATTACTTCTTGAAATTTTTCAATATTTGAAATTTGAAAAAAAAAAAATATTTGAAGAATAATTCTTTTTAATTTCTGAAATCTGGATTTTTTTGTAAAAAAAAAAAGATGCAACATTTGCAGATATTTTTACTGGTCTTCCTTTATAAATATGCATTTCTTTAAACATAATTTAAAAGCAGTGTAAGGGGAGTAATCAAAACGTTGTATGTGGATTACCTCCCTTACACTGTTTTAAATTGTCTTAATTGTTCATTAACCATTACTTTATACACAAGAGTGCACAGGCTGAAATGTCTCGCCTTCTTTACTAATAATTGATATTATGTTAATAGTCCTAAATATAAAGCTTTATTACAACTGTCACATAAACTTAACATTAAGCAAGTAAACTAAACATTGACCAATGAACCATGAAAATGAGGTCAAGGTCAGATGAACCATGCTAGGCAGGCATTACAGCTAACAATTCTTCCATACAACAAATATAGTTGACCTATAGCATATAGTTTAAGAAAAACAGACCAAAACACAATAAAATGCTCCGCAGGGCGCAGCTTGATACGACCGCAGAGGTCGAACCCTGAACAGTTGGGGCAAATATGGACACAACATTCAAGCTTGATACAGCTCTGAATTTGGATTGTGATTAAATATTTGACACAGCATAGGTTTCTGACACAGAATGAATGTGTTCTTAGAACTTAAAAATTTTAAATTGGACATTCACCTATTATGGTCCAATATCCAAAATCTAAATACATGGTTAGATTCAGCATATCAAAGAACCCCAAGAATTCAATTTTTGATGAAATCAAACAAAGTTTAATTTTGGACCCTTTTGACCTCAATGTGGACAAAGTTGATAACGGGGCCCAAAAATCAAAAATCTAAATATATGGTTAAATTCAGCATATCAAAGAACCCCATATATTCAATTTTTGTTGAAATCAAACAAAGTTTAATTTTGGACCCCGATTTGGACCAACTTGAAAACTGGGCCCATAATCAAAAATCTAAATACATGTTTAGATTCAGAATATCAAAGAACCCTAAAAATTCAATTTTTGTTAAAATCAACCTAAGTTTAATTTTGGACCCTTTGGACCTTAATGTAGACCAATTTGAAAACGGGACCAAAAATTAAGAATCTAAATACACGGTTAGATTCAGCATATCAAAGAACCCCAATAATTCAATTTTTGATGAAATCAAACAAAGTTAAATTTTGGACCCTTTGGACCTCAATGTGGACCAATTTAAAAATGGGGCCCAAAATCCAAAAACTTAATACACGGTTAGATTCAGCATATTAAACAACCCCAAGAATTCAAGAATAAAACCCCATTGAAATTGATCAAGAAATAAGCAATTTATACGAAGTATCTTCTTTTGCACAATACTGTGCAATTGAATATTTCTTGCTATTGCGCAATACTGTACAATTGACAATTTCTTGCTATTGCGCAATATTGTGCTATTGGATATTTCTTGCTATTGCGCAATACTGTGCAATTGAAGATTTCTTGCTATTGCGCAATACTATGCAATTGAAGATTTCTTGCTATTGTGCAATACTGTGCAATTGAAAATTTCTTGCTATTGCACAATACTTATTATATAATAATTTACACATCCTGTTTGGTGTGTATCTCCTACCATATCATTATTATTTGCTTTTAAATATTAATCAGAAATAACCAACTTAAAATGGAAAATTTTAAAAGAAAAAAAAAGGAAAAAAAGAAAAAAAAAGTAAAAAAAAATCCCCCCCCCCAAATTTTTTGAACCCCCTTATGATTCATCACCCCCAAACTCAATCCCAGCCTTCCCTTTGTGGTATGGTACCTTGCAGTACAATTTCAGAGAGATCCATACACTTGAACACAAGTTATTGTCTGGAAACTAGAAAAATGCTTATTTTTGGCCCCTTTTTGGCCCCCAATTCCTAAACGTTTCGGGCAATTACCCCCAAACTCAATTCCAGCTTTCCCTTTGTGATATGGAACCTTCTAGTACAATTTCAGAAATATCCAAACACTTACACACAAGTCATTGTCATGAAACTAGAAAAATGCTTGTTTTTTGCCCCTTTTTTGGCCCCTAATTCCTAAAATTTTGAGGCAATTACCACCAAAATCAATTACAGCCTTTCCTTTGTGATATGGAACCTTGTGGTACAATGTCAGAGAGATCCATACACTTACACACAAGTTATTGTCTGGAAGTTACAAAAATGCTTATTTTTTGGCCCCTTTTTGGTCCCTAATTCCTTAACTGTTGGTACCATTTTTCAATCAAGATACTCTAATAATAATTATGGCTAAGTTTAATTCCATTTGGCCAAGTAGATTAAGAGGAGAAGATTTTTTTAAAAGATTTCAAAAATTTACGAAAAATAGTGAAAAATTGACTTTAAAGGGCAATAACTCCTTAAGGGGTCAATTGACAATTTTGGTCATGTTTGACTTATTTGTAGATCTTACTTTGCTGAACATTTTTGCTGTTTACAGTTTATCTCTATCTATTATTATATTCAGGTTATAACCAAAAGCTGCAAAATTTCCTTAAAAATACCAATTCAGGAGCAGCAATCCAACAAGGGTTGTCTGATTCGTCTGAAAATTTCAGGGCAGATAGATTTTGACCTGATGAACATTTTTACCACATGTCAGATTTGCTCTAAAGCTTTGCTTTCAGAGTTATAAGCTATTTTTAGCCATGGTTACCATCTTGGTTGGTGGGCGGAATCATTGGATACATTTTCTAAACTAGATACCCTGAGGATAATTAAGGCCAAGTTTGGTTTAATTTGGCCCAGTAGTTTCAGAGGAGAAGATTTTTGTAAAAGATTACAAAAATTAAGGAAAAATTGTGAAAAATTGACTTTAAGGCCAATAACTCCTTAAGGGGTCAATTGACAATTTTGGTCATGTTGACTTATTTGTAGATCTTACTTTACTGAACATTCTTGCTGTTTACAGTTTATCTCTATCTATAATAATATTGAAGATAATAACCAATAAATTGCCTCGCCGAGCGCAGCTGGATATGACCGCAGAGGTCCAACCGTGAACAGTTGGGGCAAAAATGGACACAATATTTGTGCTTGATACAGGTCTGAATTTGGATTGAAATTAAATGTTTGACACATAATAGGTTTCTGACACAGAATAACTGTAGTCAAAGAACTTAGAATTGGTTATATGATTTGAATTTATTTTCAATTTTTTGCTTTTGTGCAATACTATGCTGTTGCGAATTTTTTTTGGGGCAAAACATTTTTTTTTCACCCCACCCCTTTTTTGTTTTACAAAAAAAAATAATATTTGAAGAAATTTTCTTTATAATTTCTCAAATCTGGAATGAGAAAAAAAAATTGTCCCCCCCCACTTTTTTTTCACCTCCCACCCTCCCCTTTTTCCAAAAAAAAAAAATCTTTCCCTCAAGATATGATCATTATCTTAATTCAAATTTCCAATAAAGTTTGCAACCATAATTACCCATTTAAACACATCATAAAAGTCTTAAATAAAGGCAACAGTAGTATACCGCTATTCGAAATTCATAAATCGATTGAGAAAAAAACAAATCCGGGTTACAAACTAAAACTGAGGGATACACATCAAATATAAGATTAACATTAAAATAGAAAATGACATACATAATCATGTCTAAAAATAATACATCTTTAATCAGCATTTTTATAAGTAACTTCTAAAAATAAATTGACAGCTAATCACCTCAAGACAATACAAAATTTCTTTATACATAATTTTAAAGCAATGTAAGGGAGGTAATCCAAATTTAACATTGTACTTAAAAGTGATTGTCCATTAACAAGGAAACCCTTGTTTTTTCCCCCTTTTTTGCCCCTAATTCCTAAACGGTTTCAGCCATTACCCCCCAAAGCCAATTCTAACCATCCCTTTGTGGTATGGAAACTTGTTGTACAATTTCAGAGAGATCTATACAACGTTCCACCAGTTATTGTCTGAAAACTAGAAAAATGCTCATTTGGGCCCCTTTTTTGGCCCCTAATTCCTAAAATGTTAGGACCATAACCCCCAAAATCAATCTCATGCAACCTTCCTTTTGTGGCTATAAACCTTGTGTTTAAATTTCATAGACTTCTATTAACTAATACTAAAGTTATTATCGAGAAACCAAGTGTTTTCGGACGAAGACGAAGTGATACCAATATATGACTGTTTTTGCGGTCGTATAAAAACTGCAAAATTTTCTTAAATTTACCAATTCAGGGGCAGCAACCCAACAATGGGTTGTCTGATTTGTCTGAAAATTTCAGGGCAGATAGATCTCGACCTGATGAACAATTTTACACAATGTCAGATTTGCTCTAAATGCTTTGGTTTTAGAGATATAAGCCAAAATCTACATTTTACCCCTATGTTCTATTTCTAGCCATGGTGGCCATCTTGGTTGGTGGGCAGGGTCTTCGGATATATTTTTTAAACTAGATACCCTAAGGATGATTTAGGCTAAGTTTGGTTCAATTTGGCCCAGTAGTTTCAGAGGAGAAGATTTTTGTAAAAGTTAACGGACGACAGAAGCCAATTGATGAGAAAAGCTCACTTGACCCTTTGGGTCAGGTGAGCTAAAAAAGCTTCTGCCAAAGTTTCTTAAAATTCTATGAAGGATTGACAATGTAATTGATGTGTAACAAACTTTAACCCTAGACTGTATCTACTTGTTAACTGTAAATAAACTGCTTCGCCTAGCGCAGCTGGATACGACCGCAGAGGTCCAACCCTGAACAGTTGGGGCAAAAATGGACACAATATTCGTGCTTGATACAGGTTTGTATTTGGATTGTAATAAAATATTTGACACATAATAGAATAACTGTAGTCAAAGAACTTAGAATTGGTTATATGATTTGAATTTATATTCAATTTTTTGCTTTTGTGCAATACACTATGCTATTGCGAATTGACCCCCCCACCCCCCCAAAAAAATAAAAATAAAATTACCCCCCCTTTTTTTTGCTTTTGTGCAATACACTATGCTGTTGCAAATTGACCCTCCCTTCCAAAACAAGAGGCTCTCAAGAGCCTGAATCGCTCACCTGTAATTTTTTGCTGAAATCTTGTTCATCAATGATTATTTTTGCTTTTTAATATATATTAATGAGTGGCTTAAAAATTATATTGAGATGTTAACGTTCTTTGAATCTGTCATATTTTCTTCAAAAGCAAAGAAATACATTTTACCCCTATGTTCCATTTTAGCCATAGTGGTTATGTTTCTTGATGTACAAGAAAATAAAATACAAAATTTATACTAGATACTCTGAAACTCATTCAGCCCAAGTTTGGCTGAAATTGATTCAGCAGTTTCAAAGGAGAAGATTTTTTAAAGTAAGCAAACTAGATGAAATAAAATGCTCCGCAGGGCGCAGCTTGATACAACCGCAGAGGTCGAACCCTGAACAGTTGGGGCAAGTATGGATACAACATTCAAGCTTGATGCAGCTTTGCATTTGGATTGTGATTAAATATTTGACACAGCATAGGTTTCTGACACAGAATGAATGTGGTCTAAGAACTTAAAAATTTTAAATTGGACATTCACCTATTATGGTCCAATATCCAAAATCTAAATACATGGTTAGATTCAGCATATCAAAGAACCCCAAGAATTCAATTTTTGATGAAATCAAACAAAGTTTAATTTTGGACCCTTTTGACCTCAATGTGGACAAAGTTGATAACGGGGCCCAAAAATCAAAAATCTAAATACATGGTTAGATTCAGCATATCAAAGAACCCCATATATTCAATTTTTGTTGAAATCAAACAAAGTTTAATTTTGGACCCCGATTTGGACCAACTTGAAAACTGGGCCCATAATCAAAAATCTAAATACATGTTTAGATTCAGCATATCAAAGAACCCTAAGAATTCAATTTTTGTTAAAATCAAACTAAGTTTAATTTTGGACCCTTTGGACATTAATGTAGACCAATTTGAAAACGGAACCAAAAATTAAGAATCTAAATACACAGTTAGATTCAGCATATCAAAGAACCCCAATAATTCAATTTTTGATGAAATCAAACAAAGTTTAATTTTGGACCCTTTGGACCTCAATGTGGACGAATTTAAAAACGGGGCCCAAAATCCAAAAACTAAATACACGGTTAGATTCAGCATATTAAAGAACCCCAAAAATTCAAGAATAAAACCCTATTGAAATTGGTCAAGAAATAAGCAATTTATACGAAGTATCTTCTTTTGCACAATACTGTGCAATTAAATATTTCTTGCTATTCTGCAATACTGTACAATTGACAATTTCTTGCTATTGCGCAATATTGTGTTATTTGATATTTCTTGCTATTGCGCAATACTGTGCAATTGAAGATTTCTTGCTATTGCGCAATACTGTGCAATTGAAGATTTCTTGCTATTGTGCAATACTGTGCAATTGAAAATTTCTTGCTATTGCACAATACTTATTAGATAATAATTTACACATCCTGTTTGGTGTGTATCTCCTACCATATCATTATTATTTGCTTTTAAATATAAATCAGAAATAAACAACTTAAAATGGAAAATTTTAAAAGAAAAAAAAAAGGAAAAAAAGAAAAAAAAGGAAAAAAAAAAAAAAATCCCCCCCCCCAATTTTTTGAACCCCCTTATGATTCATCACCCCCAAACTTAATCCCAGCCTTCCCTTTGTGGTATGGTACCTTGCAGTACAATTTCAGAGAGATCCATACACTTGAACACAAGTTATTGTCTGGAAACTAGGAAAATGTGTTTTTTGGCCCCTTTTTGGCCCCAAATTCCTAAACGTTTCGGGCAATTACCCCCAAACTCAAACCCAGCTTTCCCTTTCTGATATGGAACCTTGTAGTACAATTTCAGAAAGATCCATACACTTACACACAAGTTATTGTCCTGAAACTAGAAAAATACTTGTTTTTTGCCCCTTTTTGGCCCCTAATTCCTAAAATATTGAGGCAATTACCCCCATCATCAATCCCAGCATTCCCTTTGTGGTATGGTACATTGCAGTACAATTTCAGAGAGATCCATACACTTGAACACAAGTTATTGTCTGGAAACTAGAAAAATGATTATTTTTGGCCCCTTTTTGGCCCCCAATTCCTAAATGTTTCGGCAATTACCCCCAAACTCAATTTCAGCTTTCCCTTTGTGATATGGAACCTTGTACATGTAGTACAATTTCAGAAAGATCCATACACTTACACACAAGTTATTGTCATGAAACTAGAAAAATGCTTGTTTTTTGCCCCTTTTTTGGCCCCTAATTCCTAAAATTTTGAGGCAATTACCCCCAAAATCAATCCCAGCATTCCTTTTGTGATATGGAACCTTGTGGTACAATGTCAGAGAGATCCATACACTAACACACAAGTTATGTCTGGAAGTTACAAAAATGCTTATTTTTGGCCCCTTTTTCCTTTACTGTTGGTACCATAACCCCCAAAATCAATCCCAACCTTCCTTTTGTGGTATTGAACCTTGTGGTAAAATTTCATAGAGATCCATTCACTTAAACTAAAGTTAGAGTGCGAAAACCAATGTGTCTTCGGACGACGCCAACGTCATACCAATATACGACCACAAAAAATTTTTTGCGGTCGTATAAAAATTGTGAAAAATTGTCTTTAAAGGGCAATAACTCCTTAAGGACACATTTGACAATTTTTGTCATATTAACTTATTTGTAGATCTTACTTTGCTGAACATTTTTGCTGTTCACAGTTTATCTTTATCATTAATAATATTCAAGATAATAACCAATAAAATGCTCCGCTGGGCGCAGCTTGATATGACCGCAGAGGTCGAACCCTGAACAGTTGGGGCAAGTATGGATACAACATTCAAGCCTGATACAGCACTGAATTTGGATTGTGATTAAATATTTGACACAGCATAGGTTTCTGACACAGAATGAATGTGGTCTAAGAACTTAAGAACCTTTTCAAACCATATCATTATTACTTGCTTTTATATATAAATCAGAAATAACCAATTTAAAATGGAAAATTTTAAAGAAAAAAATTA